AGAGAAGCTGTCATGACAGTGTTCCATCCTGTCAGTCATAAGTTAACCAGAAAACTCAAAAAAGCCATTGATTGTCCCAACAGCTGATGTTTTGGTGGACAGGGAGTTAGAGAAACAGAGGTGAGGAGGATTTGCAAAGAGGATCCTGAGTGTTTGGCTTGAGGACTTGCCTTTAGCAATCAGGAGCAGAGGACACTTGCAGGGTGATGCTGGGTGGCCAAGGGGTTGCTCTGCTGGCAGAGGTGGGGCAAAAAGGTGACACAAGTTTTAGTCTAGGCCAGGAGAGTGCTTTAGTAACAAAGTCATGATCTTGATTCTGATAAAGCCCCACAGACTGAGGCCTTTTTGTAATTCTCTTTTCCTGATGCATAAATAAAAAGATAAATAAATATGTAATATTTCTATAAGTTCAAGTCACATTGTAATTTTTCCCAGGAGCTTGTTTGCTTTCTTAAGGGAACACAAGGAGCTTGCAGGCTTCCACGCTTCAATTTAACACAAGTAAGTAATAGCAAATATTAAAACATGGCACAAAAATGAGTGGCACAGGCTCAGACTAAAATTAGACTGCAAACTGGGTGGTGTTCCTCGATTTTGCCTTCAGTTGGAATTAACCAGAGTTACTTTAGGAGCTACCTCGTGACAGATTAAAAAGATCTGGGTTCAGTGTGTGTGAGGCTTTGGGCTGCTTTTAACAAGCCACCTAAAACACTAAAGGATGAGGCATAAATTTCAGACTAATTTATTTCTGTGGCATTAAGGAAGGTCACTCCCTGACTGGGCTCCTCACCTCATGTCCACCTTGGGTCAGAGTCAATAAAATGTGTGGTTGAAGCTGATGACCTGAGGGCAAGGACACGTGGTGGAGACACAGAAATATTTGGACTGAGCTCAGCCATATCTCTGCATCAGAATCTTCAGGGCCTCTTTGGCTCTGTAATATGGGCAGTGAGGGGTTGAGAAAGTTACATTTCTTCTCTAATGCCTGGCTTTTTAGTTCTGATCAAATGAATTCCATTGCAGAGTGGAATCCTATGGAAGCACTGACAGCAGCAGGAGAACATCTTCTCATCCCTGTTTCAGCATCTTGTTGATCAGCTCAGCCTCCCCTGATGTTCCCATGGAAGTCAGAAATGCATTTGTGGATTTTTTCACTTGAACCCTCACGTTCTGCAAATCTCCCTATTAATCCAACAAGAAATGTCCCCTTGAGTGATGTTAATGCTTAGTCTGGGAATATTATTTCCAACAAAGAGATTGCACCTGAGTAAATATCCAGGTTTGAGATGTATTTGAATAATATCTCTAGCTGCTGGTCTGAATATTGAATCTGATGCAACCCACGGAGCTAAAAGAACAATGAATTTAACAACAGGCATAGCAATGGCCGTGTGAAGGCATTAGCCAGATGTTTGTTTTTAGCAGGGCACATGTGGGATTGACTTGTTCTCTTTCCCCTGGCTCTCGAGTTACTGCAGGGCTGCATTTTCAGCTTTAGAAGCCAGAAGGGCACAACTGATTTGTCGTGCCCAGTAAAAGCAAAACCACATTACTGAGAGCTCGCTGGTCTAGAGGTGAACGGGTCAGAGAGGGCCCATTACGAGACATTTTGCTGAAGGAATGACCTTATTGCAGTGGCTCTGCTATTTGGGTGGCAGCATCAGTTTCTTATGAGCTGTTCTCGAGTGATCCTGGGCTGCTCTGTCCTTGCAGCCCATGAACTTGGTCTTTCAGGGCAGGGCTTTCTGCTGGCAAGAGAATGGGCAGTGGGTAGTGAAAAACGTGCCTGGGGCTCCAGAGCTCAGAAGAGCAGCTGCTTTGGGAGGCAGGGGCTGTTTGCAGATGTATTTTCCAGGTGAATGCCCATCCAAGGATGTAGCAAGGCTTGCAAAGCTTAAATGAGATGCCTTGAGTCAGACTTCCAGTGAAAGGATGGCTGTTCAGGTGTTATGGAACTGCAGCTTCCAAATTCTTCACTGGTGGTTTTGCATTTTGGTACAAGTCCTGTTCCTGCAAATGACTTTGGTGGGGTTTGGGAATTGTCCATGTGATTCCCAAATCCCATGGAAGTGCAGCAGCCTTACCAATGGCTGCTGAGAAGGGGGGATGATCACCACCTCCTCTTTTTTGCTGCTCCACGGGGCCTTGAGCAGCACTGTTGGGTGAATTTTTAAACACAAAGCTGAAAGTTTTCGAGCAGCCACACAGTGATTGTAGCATACACCTTATTTTCTGACTTACCAGGCAGATCCAAACCCCAAAAGTGGGATCAGATCTCACACCAGTGAGGAAGTAACCTCATTTACCAAAGCCTTTCAAATGATACATTCCACATGGAAGGAAGGGGTTGGAATGAAATTTCAGAAATATTTTGCATATTTTCCCACAGTTAAAGACAAAGAAACAAAGGTATTAACCAAGATCCTTCAGCAAAAGGAGCCAAATTTTCTATCTCTACATTTAGATCTCCTGGGCTCCTGTTGAGCCAGGCTCAGTTGCCCTTCAAGGCTGCAGGCTGTGAAGTCTGAAAGAGCAGATCTTTGGTCTGAAGATGTTTTGACAACACCAATGTGCAAAGAGCCACCATTTAACAGAGGCCATCTTTGCCTGAGGGTGTCCCATGTACCTCCCTCTTTTTCCCTGTCAAGCATTTCCTTGGAAGTCATAGAGGTTTGGGTTGGAAGTGACATTAAAAATCATCTCAGGGCATTTGGTAGGGTCATGATTTTTTCTGGTTATTAATTCATAGGGTTTCTCAAGAGAAATCCAGGCCTTATATGTAGATCAGGAGTGAACTCCCAGAAGGATCTATTGAAATGAATCCTGATCTTGGTGATCAGGGATCTTGAGATCTAATGAATCAATCAGAAAAAAGATGTGACTCCCAAAGGCTCCTGGAAAATGCTTTGGAGAAGACAGTGAATTATCTGCTTGTATCAGCTATGTAAAGAGCTGAATCAGGCCAAAGAATCAGTCATCATTAAAAATATCATCATCATTTTTGGAAGGGACTAGAATAAAAATATACAGAGAGGAAAAGAATTAAAATACATTTCTGGAAAAGTGTGTGTTATCAGCAGCTTGACAACCAGTGGGAGAAAATGGTACAGATTAGAGGCAGAAATCTGTGAAGTGAGGAAGAGGGAAATTAGTTAGAATATGCTGAAAAACAGTAGGAACCCGACACATTTTTTTCCCAGCTTCTGGGTTGGATCAGCAGCTGATTTCCACAATGCAGGAATGAACAGGGAAGTGCAATAATCTGATACAGATGTCCCAGCAGTGAGTGAATCCTTGGTTTTGACAGCAGTTCTCTGGAATTCAGGAAATTATTGTGGTTAGATGCTAATGCTTTCTCCTGCTTTGCTTTGCTTCCAGGATGAGGGAAAATAAAACACGAAAAATGAACACAGATGTTATGGAAAGCTGAGAGGCTGGTCATGGAGTTTGTTTTTCCCTCCTGATGTTTGAAGCCGTGTTTGCTGGAGAAAGTGTGAGGAGCAAATGTTTACCTTAAGTTCTATTTGTTTATGGAGAATATAACAGCCAATTCCTAGAGCCAACACAGACCAGAATTCAGCTCCTCACCATCCAGGAATGCTTCCTCATTCCAGATAATTCCATGTATTTGGGTGACATTAGCAGAGTGCTGAGGGGTCAGGAGAGAGGATGAATGTGAGCAAAATTAGCATGAAATATTATTTTGTTGAATCCTAGGAAAATAACTTGTTTAGGAGAGCTCTAACCTCCAGCTGTGTATTATCAGCATAACAATATATGAAAATCTCTTTGTAGAACAGTGGCTCACCTCTGATCACTTCTTGTTTTATGAAACAGTTTGGTGCAGCACCGTACTAGTGAGAAATTCTGGATTTTCCTGCACAGTGGACACATTTTGACAGTGATGGCTGTGGCACAGCTGCCAAATTATGATTATCTAAGGTTGGATATTATTTTGGCTGCAGATTAGCTGTTAAAGCAAAATTCAGTCAAAATTGCCAAGTAATGCATTAAAGGAGAGCAAAAGGGCTGGTGAGGATACCAAAGACAGAGATAAATAACAGGAGAAGTTGTGGATGATCCATCCTTGGAAGTGTTCTAGGCCAGGCTGGGCTTTGGAGCAACCTGGTCTAGTGGAAGGTTTCCCTGCCCATGGCAGGGGTGTGGAATGAGGTGGTCTTTAAGGATCCTTCCAAACCAAACTTTTCTATGATTCTGTGTCTCTGTGATATCAACTCTGCCTCCAGCTGCAGGAAGAGAATGCACCTGGATGTTCTGGTGAGAGTTTAGGTGGTAAATACTCAGCAGAGCATACAGGTGTGTGACCACCTACCTGCTCTGCTCCTTGGTTCTTTCCTAGGCTGTTGCCCCTGCCAGAGAAAATTCCCCAGACTTTTTTGTCATCCCAGCAAGGCCACTCTTCATCTTCATACTGGGGAAAGATGAGGAGTGAGGCTGTTGCATGTGATGATCCACTAATCTCATCCCCCCAGAATTTCCCATGAAAACAGAATAATGAAATTATTGGATGAAAACCAGAGATACCACAACCAGCTACAAGCCAAGCAGCAGGACTCAGATAACATGTAGAGCAGATTTCTGGTCTCCTGAGTTTCCACCAGGCTGCAGATAATCTTAAAGGTTGGAAGAAGTCTCCAAGCTTTGAGCAGACACCACCTTGCCAATCAGACCAGGCACTGGGTGCCGCTGCTCGTTTCTCAAACACTTCCTTGGATGATGAAAGCAGCCACCCCCTCCCTGGGCAGCCTGTTCTACCCTCTGGGAAGAAATTCTTCCTGAATTTATCTTCTTTTTATGGTATTGGTGAAATGAAGCTTAAAAACATATGGAACTGACAAAACAGGGACATGTTGGAAAAATTTAATGTAAAAGATCCCTTCGTGTTCATAGTTCAGGTAAGTGTTTTTGAATAGTTCCATGGGCATTGGCTAATTCTTTAAAAGCAATGAGCTGGATTCACGAAGGAGAAGCTAATCTGGATTTTTTTTTCAGCAATTTGAAGAGGTGAAGCTGAATGAGGTGAGAATGGTGTGATACATCCAGCTGGAGCAATGCGTTCAGGTGTGTCAGTTCAGGGACAGAAGGAATTATCTCCTGTCACACAAGACACCTAAAAATGCCACAAACTCTTGGCTCTGTAACAGGTAATTCCATAAATACCTTCGATTTCTATGAACCAGCCTAGAGCTCAATAGGGTAAAATAACAAGCCCCACGAAAGTTAGCAGTGGAAAAGCAAACACAGACCATTGTGGCACTCCATAAATCAGGAAATTCTGAGTTGAAAGCAATGGTAGACTGAGGGAATGGGCTGGAGGATGTGTCATGTTTTCATGCCATGTTCTGGCTCTCCCTGACTCTGTACAGGGCAGACAATTTTAAAATCAGCTCCAGGAACATCACCAATGGAGAGCCCTTCCCAACAAAATGCACATATTTGATGCCTCCCTGCCACGTGGTGGCACGTGGAAGGAAGGGGTTGTAAAGAATTTCAGAAATATTTTGCATATTTTCCCACAGTTAAAGGCAAAGAAACAAAGGTATTAACCAAGATCCTTCAGGGAAAGGAGCCAAATTTTTTGCTTCTATATTTAGATTTCCTGGGCCACCACGGTCCCTGTTGAGCCAGGCTCAGTTGCCCCTCAAGGCTGCAGGTTGTGAAGTCTGAGAGAGCTGAACTTTGGTCTGAGGACATTGTCACCTCAGCAGGGCCCTGTTAGGGCTGATGTGTGTCACAAGGTTGTGCTGCCCCTTCCATGCCCTGATCTACCCCAAACAATAGTCTAGGACAAGAGTGATGGGCTCAGTGGGTGCCAGGACTGGCAGGAAGGGAGGTGGCCCTGCCATGGGATTTGTCCTGGTCCCACTCCTGACCCCATGGCAGGCTCAGCTCTGTAAGCCAGGCTGAAGGAGGGGAGGGGAATCTGGGACATTCTTCTGGAAAGCAGACTGACAGATCTGTCCCAAGACTAAGAAAAAGGGTCTGAAACTCTTAACTGAAGTCTGCCTTGGTTCTCTTCGCTTTTCTGGCCCTAAGCGTTGTATTTTCCCATAATGACTGGTTCAGGATCACCAGACTGGTTAATGACCTGGAATAATTTCATAAGAGATGAACCCGGACTGGGATTCAGCCAAGACACATAAACGGTTCAATTACCTGATTAGGGGATGAGCTTAAGCCAATTTGCAGGCAAAAACAAGGTCTGTGGGATTTAAGTCAGTTCTTATCATGGTCATCATCTCAGGACAAGAAATGTAAGAGAGGTGAATCTCCCTGTGGTTGGCAAAGATTAGAAAATGTGTTGTTTCCTTCTCACATGACATGCTTAATTCCTAAGTATCTGCTGGACAGCTTGGGTGGATTCTTGCCCTACTGACTTTCCCAAAGTCAGCAAAGCAAAGTTATATCCTTCCAAACAATGTGCTCAAAGCAGCCTGCTCCTATTAGGAAAAAACTACACCACTGAGGGATTTGCTTAATTGGAGCTTCTTTCCAGAAACTGGGTTGGCTCCTCAGTGGCAGATCCCAGTGATGGTCATGGAATTGAGATGTGTAGCCAAAGCAGGGTGTGATACAAACTCAGATTACTGGGATGTTCATCCAAATGCTCTTACACAAGCTGGCTTATTCATTTTGTACATTTGTATTGTATTCTTGCCTCTAAGTCTTGGCAATCACCATGAATCATTATGGACACCCCACTCAAGGAATATTATTTTAACTAGATGCACTCAAATCAAGGTGAAGAAAGGAGCATGGTTCACCTAAAACACTCAAAAAACTGCAGGATTTATCAAAATTCACAGGCAGTGACTCTTTGCTTAACAAAAACTGGTGGTAAAGCCACAGGGTGCCCAGAGAAGCTGTGGCTGCCCTGAAAGTGTCCAAGGCGAAGTTGGATGGAGCTTGGAGCAACCTGGGCTGGCGGAAAGTGTCCCTGCCCATGGCAAGGGGGTGGGATTGGATGATTTTTAAAGTCTCCTTCACCACAAACCTTTCTGTGTTTCTATGACATCTTCATCAAGTGCCAAAACCATCTTCCAACTCTGTGTGAAATGCAGCTTTGAATCCATTTCTGGAATATTAGCTGAATTAATCACAGTGATACCTATTGGTAATGAAAGGAATTCTTTGACATGTCTGGAAAGGAGAGTGCAGCAGGGTGTGTAAAGAACCTGGAAAAGTCTGGATGTTCATAAGCCCTAATTTTTGATGGGCAGCTAAAAAAATAAACCCAACCAGCCAAACAAATCTAAGCAAAGAAAAAAGATGTTATGACTTTTAAAAGAATAGGTAGAAACAGATTGAGAACATGAAAAAAGAGGAGAGTCTATGTGAAACTAAATCAGTATGAATGAGCCTTAGGAAAAAAAGGGCAAGATATTTATGATGGTCTTCAGAAAAATGCATTTGCTCAAATTGAAGAAGTTAAGACCCAGTACAGAAATTTTTAAGCTGAAAAATTGTGGAGAACTGGCAATGCCTTAGGAAATTTCTGTTAAAGTAAGATATACAGACTATTGCAACATGGAAAACAGCTCAAGGAAGTTGTAAGAAACTTACTTGACAGAATTAGCATTACTGAAAAGAAACAATAAGTCATACTTAAATGGGAGAAAAAGATTTGTATTAAGAAGGTGTTTCAAAGAATCTACACTTGACACCATTCACCTGTGTGTGTTATTGATGGTAACTGGAATAACCCACAGAGTAATGGAAATGACATTTGGAAACTTGGGGTGGGGCTGAGGTGGCAGAAGAGTTACAGGGTGCCAGTCTTTGGAAAGAAGAATACAGTGAGTCAGCATCATTTCAGTTTTCGGAATAATCTTGAAATAAATCCTTAGTCTGTAAGTGTGAAGAAGACAACAGAGGAATGAAAAACAGACAAAACATTTAATTTTTTTTTAAGGACAACCTATGTTGAATAATTTTGATGTTTTTTTTTTTTTTTTGTTTTTTTTTTTTTTTGACAAAACAGTAGGCCTAGAGGCTTGGGGAAAAAACCCCATAGATATTAGATATGACTTAAGGTCTGGAAATTATCTACTAAATAGTGTCCTAAGCAATTTTGAGAATTAAAGATAAGATAATACTGCTATTTGTTGTACTGGAATTTGTCTGAAAAATAGCAAAGCATTCATAACTGTTCTCTGAGAAGTATCTGACCACATGATATATTAAGAAACAAAAGCATAAATCTCCATAGGGTAAGCACCAGTCATCAATTTTTATTAATGAGTTAGAAATTCTGCAGACTGATCACATTTGCAACCCATGTGCACATGCAGAAGGACAAGACTGAAATCTAAAGTTGTCTGGATTGGGAAAATCATCTGGAAAAAAATAAAGTCATGTTCAATTAGGCCAAATGTAAAATTCCAGCCCCAGATGGAATAATCAGCTGGGTGGTGCAGGAGAATGGATGAATGACAGCAGCACAGGAGGAACATTTGTCAGGAATTCTCACTGCTGTGAAAGAGGAAAGTGCCCTGCAGAGATGGGAATCCACCAGGCTGTAAATAAAAATCAATCAACTTTGTAACAACTATTTTTCTCTCTTAAACCATTTTAATATGACATAACACTCTTAAAATGTGTGTAATCATATTGCTGTGAATCTACTGGAAATTATTTTAATATTTCTACATTCTATGATTTTCAGGGTTTGGTGTATTGTTATTACCTCTTATTACATGTTTAATTTGGATATAACAAAAAGAAGGAGCCTAGAGCGACAATGGGAAGGTTTTCTACTGATATGGTTGGTTTTGGCACAGAACTCCTGGCGACTTTGGTCTACAGAATATTTCTTGTTTGTGATGAGCTCTTCTGTTAATTCAGAAAGGAGATGACAGAGGGCTGTTCATCGTAATGGGTAACACATGAGCAATTTTTGGCTGGCCAGCGGCTCTCCCAAATTTTGGGTGGTGCCAGTTTTTTAACAAAGGAGACCACAGACAACTCCAGGTGAAGAAGGATTTAGAATTTAGACACTGTGCCACATTCATTTGACCACATTTCTTAGGTCCCAGTCACTCCCCTAGGAATGAGGATGTCTGCCAACACACTGGCATTGGCTGTGAGAGTTCAACCAGAATTTCATGGAACCACAACTTCAAGTTTTAGTTTGGAAGGAGCCTCCAGACATCACCCAATCCAACACCCTGCTCAAAACAGGTTTCACTAGACCAGGTTGCTCAGGGCTATGCCCAGATGGCTCTGGAACAACTTCATGGAAAGATAATTGCTTTTATCAACTGTTTTCCCAATGTTTATTTAGAGGAGGTGAAGAGGTGAATACCGAGATCATTTCGATCCTATGATAATCCTCAAAGCCAAAAATTCAAATGATACAAGCTAAAGATGCTGAAGGGCATGAATTGCAAGCACAGAATAATTAAAGAAAAAAAAAAAAAATCAAAGAAAAGGATGGGGAGCAAGAGGGAAAGAGTTAATTCCCCTTTTGTGCAGATTTCAATATGTACAGACAAAGAGATAACAGGGTGTTAATGTCCCAAGTCCTTGACTGTTTTGATTGGCACGAACAGCAGAACGAAGTCAGCTATAGTTAGATCTTGTTCCTACATGTCCAGACAGCTCCGTAAAAACGCAGGAATTTAAGGAGGGGTGAATCCTGCCAGTTCTTACCCAGACATGTGAAACTGCTGAGTCCAGCTCCGCTACCTCGGTGAGGAAAAGTTTTCAAGACCCTGTGCCAGGCGAGTCCCTTAAACAGATTTGTCCGTGATCCTTGCTCAGCAGCCTTTCCAAAGCCTATCCAATTCCCAGGCCCTTTGGAAACCTCACCTGGCATGAATTCCATTTGTATTTACAAATGCTGTAAATTATAGGTGTCACATGGACTGATAGCTGCAAAAAAGGGCTGTTATTTTTCATACTCTATGGTCAGAAATAACGAGTCTGCTCGTGGGCCAGAAAGCATGATTTCCCATTTGGAAGAATTTAAAGAATTAATTGTTTGGCAGGACAAATGTACTTGTAAAACTAGGCGTCAGAACACATTTTGCCCTTTGATTCCCTCTAAAATTCTCAGATAAACCAACTTAACCCAGATACACAAATCACACACATCAGCTGTCCAGCAGGGAAAAAAGAATGCTATGCCTAAAGGAATAAATACTCTGGATTTTAAAGGAGATGAAGCAACCTGAGTTGTCTGAAATAGTTTTTGTCCACAAACAATTTAAAAGTATTTTAAACAATTTTTTGTCTTGATTTTTTTACAGGTTTCTCCATGGTTATTGAAAATTTTGTGCCTGGGATTCAGAGAGAATTGGTCAAGAACCACATACATACATACATTTCTAATCCAGGAATCCAGAAAATATAATGAAAACTTGGCAGAACCTGAATTCAGTAGGAATCATTCCTGCTCTCCACCACTTTGCTGAAAATCCCAGCAAAGCATATAAGGAGGATTTATGTACAGACCTATATATATTTACGTGTGCATTGAAAAGAAATAAAATATTGGTTTGGGTTGATTGATTTGCAATAGGTTGCTTCAAGCAAAATATTTTTTTGAGAAACTCTGAACCAAAAGGGCAGAAGAGGAACTGGAATTCGCTGAGATCAAGAACTCTGGCAGCCGCATCACATTTTGGGAACACTAAATATTCCCAAGACAGAGAGCAGCTTGTTTCTGGGATGTGTCACCCAGTTTACAGCTGCAGCAGATGTATCTATACATGTATGGAGAGGGACTTCTTCCAAGAGCAGGGAGTGATAGGACAAGGAGGAATGAAAGAGAGTAGGTTTAGATGGGATATTGGGAAGAAATTCTCCCTGTGAGGGTGCTGAGGCCCTGGCACAGCTGCCCCGAGAAGCTGAGGCTGCCCCTGGATCCCTGGAAGTGCCCAGTGCCAGGTTGGACAGGGCTTGGAGCAGCCTGGGACAGTGGGATGTGTCCTTGCCCAGGAGGGTTGGAATTGGATGATCTTTAATGTCCTTCCCAACCAAAACCATTCCATAATTCTTTGATTCTATGATATCTAGGAGTAGTGCTAATAAAAGCTCCCCCAGGCTGTTTATTTGCTGCTGTGTCTCTAACCTGGCTCATGCTGCAGGAGGTGACACTGCTGCCCTTTCCTTTCTCTTGGGAAACAATTGCATGATCCATGTGGCTCCAATATGGAACCAGCACAATGATGGCTGCATTTAGGCACAGATCAGAGGGTTTTCTCACAGCTCACACTAATCAGAGTGGTTAATGAGGTAGTGATGGATGAATCAGGTGCTAACAGCACCTGCACTGTGATTGCAATTTGGTAATTTGGGATTTTATTTGCATAATCACCCAGTGCCAGCCTTGCTGCACTGACACTGATAGAACTTGCAGCAGCACCAGGAGAAAGCTGATGGAGTTTCTGCAGGAAAACATTTGTGCTGGGTACAACACCTTCCAGACATGGGACATGCTAAAAACTTCAGAGCACTGAGTCAGAACACACAAAAGGGTGAAGCACATTCCTTTGAGGGCTTTCTGCTTTACCCCAGAGTTGGTTGGGGGGCATTTTAGTGCTGATGGAGATGTGAGTTTGTAGCCTGCTGAGAGCAGAGCAGGGGGTGAAGGAGAAAGTGGAGTCAAAGAAAGATAAAAGACGATAATCTGGGTTTCTGTAGTGGCAATGAGGCTTTTGAGAACATAAGGAGTTAAAAAATCACTCTGTAACCATCTAGAGCTCTCGGCAGCTCTTAGCTCCTAGAGCTGGATATAGGGAAACAGGGAAAGGCAGAGGATATGGAAAACAAACACAAAACATGATTCTGTGCTTGCATTGGTGTAGATGAAAACATGGAAGGAGGGAGAAGATGAGACCAGCTTCTTGTTTAGCAGGTGAAGAACAAGATGAGAACAGTCAGAGTGTCCCTCTTACACTTGACATCCCATTTTTGCACTATTTAGGATGTTTTCTGTGAGGGGAAGGGGAAAAAAATGTCTTTGTGCACATAAAAGGAGTTATAGTAGAATTTTTTACAAAGAAGTTATAAGGCTCATTCAGCAAATACAATTGTGGGCAGTTAACAGGCTGGAAAATTCAAAAGAGCTGCAAAAACATGTTTGATTGTGCAGCAAACAAAAGGATGGAGAATAAAAAGTCATAACAAGCTGCTTCTTTTGATGCAGTCTGCCTTGAATTGTTGGGTCCCTTTTAAGCTATAAATAAACTGCACATCTTTGTAGAGATCATTGTGCATAACTGAAAACCAAGAGAGATGGTAAAAAATACACATTATTAGAATTACAGCAACAGGAATGGGACCTGTGGTGGTCAGGGTACAGATGGTCTGGAGCACTGGGACTGTGATTTATGAACCTGGCCTGCAGAAACTCAGGCTGTGGCAGAAGTGCTGTGAAGTGCCAACACACTGGATTATGTCCACAAATTCCTTTCAGTTCCTGAACTGGGGTCCATCAGAGTGGAAACTGAGGCACAGGTTGCTTCAAAGGCTTTTTCTCAGAATCAAATCATAGAATCACAGACTCATAAAATCATTAAGGCTGCAAAAACCTGAAGATCATCAAGCCTTCAACCCAGCACCACCACCTTTTTCACCACTTAGCCATACCCTCCAGTGGCATATCCACACCTTTTTCAGCAATTCCAGGGATGGTGACGCCATCAAATCTGTGACTATTTCTTATATTGCCACCACACTTTGCTTCCTATGGCACATAGAAAGGAATGTTATTAATAAAAAAGCTAAATGCTAAAAATTAAATTTTAAATTTATTTAGCTTGAGGGTTTTTGCTTTATTTTTAGAAGACTTACACTGCAGAAGAGTTTTGCATCTACCAGAGCTGGTGAAGTTTCACCCAGCATCTGGCACCTTGAGAACACTTGTGGCATCCTACAGCTCCCAGAGAGGGATTAATGCCTGTGCTGATTGGTGGCTGTGGCATGGACCAACAGGAGAGATGCCAACACCACTTATCTACTAAATCTTACACAAATTATATGATCTGGTGGCTGAATCAGGTAGAAGGAAGTCACCAAGATTTTTTACCTCCCTCCTGCTTGCAAAGAACTTCTGTGGATCTGTTATTACTCCACGGGCACATCATTTAATCAGGCAAACTGTAATCACACCAATATTAATTATACATAACGATTCAGTCAGGCAAAGTGAAACCTGGCCACAAGGGAGATATTAGAGGTGATGTACTTATTTTTGATGTGCATATTAATGTGCTAACTTTAAATCTAAGGAACATTGTTTGACTGGAAAAACACTCATTACTAAAATTAGGCTGAAAGTTATAAGGCAGAAGAGATGCTGAATGATCTCATGTGGCAACAGTGATTTACAAACATCCATTATTAAAACCAGAAAGAGGTTGTGTTTCAATACTTTAATTATTCTGCAGGCACTATCTGATTCAGTTGTATTAATCTTCTGTTTGCTTGTTTGCTTGACCTGTGTGAATGGCCCACGAATTTATTAACATTTGTCATTTACATCCATTTATCAAGGATGTCAAGGTGATAGAGCAACTGAGGTAACAGTGCTGGGAGGAGAAGAGAGAATAATCAGTGTCTACCTTAGCAGAGTGTACTTAAGCAAGTGACAGAACCAAAGCATTTCAAAGTTTTCCAGCTGTGTTAAACTTGTCCAAAACTGCAATATTTCTCAGACTTTGGTGTGACATCAAGCCAATGACTCTCCAGTACTGAAAGCAGGTTTATATTAATGAGAAATTAAGCAAAATAAACAATATATTTGCTGACTTCAAGTTACGCAAAGCTCCCCATAAGACAAATAAGATAAGGGTGTAATCCTAAATATTTTTGGAATCGTGTGGCAACGTGCTTGTCTTAGCCCAAAGGGATATAACCATGCTCCTTATCTGAGCATCCTTTCCTGGGCAGATTTGAGATAAGCCTCATGGCTCTGCTCTCCAAGGAGAGAGCTATGCCTAATCCACTGCAAAATCTGTGCATTTTGCTAGTAATTTAATGGGCTGAGCCAGCTCTGAAACTTGGAGTGCCAGTAATATTCCACCACGGATTTATGGCCATTAACAGAAGATGAAAGAGTGCCATGTCACAGAGACCATGGAGTCGGAGGGTGGAGAGTGTGACAGTCCAGCAGAGAAGAATTGAGGTGTTATCTGAGCACTCCAGTGTCACCCAGTCACTATTAAATAGCCAAATCCATGGGGCAACTTGCAGAAAAAAAACCCTGCCTTGTGTATAATGATAGCCTCGGGATGGGGCTGGAGATGCAGAAGGTGTTAGGTCACAGACCACCTAGAGAGCCCAATGTCAACACTGAGATGCCTTCAAAAAAGCATAATTTATTTATCAGACTGACAGAGGAAAACTGTATGAAAAAGGGCACATGGGCAATGCAGGGCAACAAGATGCCAGCCAGCGTAATAGTTATAGCATTTTAATAAGACTTGTGCTTAAAAACTTGAAAGGCTGTGAAAGTTGGAAAGAGCTAAAGGGCTGCTGGCAAAAGCCTGGAAGGTGGGTGCCTGACTTTTAACTCCCTCTGTGTCAGCCAATTCTTCAAGCAGCTCTTTAAAGGGCACAGCAGAAGGAATTCGGTGGAGTAGAATCACACAATGACAGAATGGTTTAGGTTGGATGGGAACATAAATATAATCTCATTCTAACCCCCTGGGTTAGGTGGGCAGGGACACCTTCCACTATCCCAGGTTCCTCTAAGCCCTGTCCAGCCTGGCCTTGGGCACTTCCAGGGATCCAGGGGCAGCCTCAGCTCCTCTGGGCACCCTGTGCCAGGACCTCACCACCCTCATGGGGAATAAATTCTTCCTGTTATCTAATCTAAACCCACTCTCTTTCAGTGTGAAGCCACTTAAAACAGAGGTTGGAGATGCAGAACCTCTCATGAGCTCTTTTAGTAAATCCAGACTTAATTTAAAAATGAGAATTCTCCTACCCTTTGTGGAGTGGAGGGGGGAGTCAGGGCTCTCGTTGGACATCCATCAGGGAAGATACACACAAGTCCCATATTCCCCATAAGGTGGGACTCATGGAAGAAATACCATCACTCAGGCTTGCTGTGCTCTGGTTTCAAGTCATCCTCTTGATGCTGACAAGCCTGGAAATATTTTCATTAGCAGCCGTGCAGATGAGCTTTGAATAAATCAGGTTCACTTTCCTGAGGAGCTCCAGAGTAAATATTGGAATCAGTATCATGGAGCAGCTGCCCACCAGGACATGTAATTCACACTGGAATCTGTTTTGGAGAAGTTCACCCATGTAGCACCTCCAGAAGAGTCCAAAGCAGTGAGATGTGCTCGAGCTGTCTGGGCTGCAGCAGCCCTGAGCAGATTCCTGTGGGGTCAATGGCTAGTTACCTTAAAAAGCTAGGAGAAGGACAGTGTGCCCACTGGGCTGTACTTAGCAGCTCTTTTCCTCTGGAAAATGAGGCTGATTATTCAGATATACTGATAATCAATACTCTTGGATACCCCTGAAATAGTTTCAATCAACCAGTCCTGTGAAAGCT